ACCCTTGCCATCGACTACATATGGCACACTGCCTGAACGTAGGTTACGATGTCTAAAAGCATGTTTCACTGGGGAATAATGATAATCACTGTCACTTGATGAATCCTTTATGGGCATAAAATCGATTTCATCATCGTCACTTATATCACTTTCACTATAGTCATCACCATAATACCTGGAAAATGATAATTTCCTCTTGCGGAGTTGCCTTTGGATAGTAACACTAGCAACTCCAGAGGTACTTGGCTGAGGTTCTGGTATGGACACACTGTCCACACTGGCCACCCCAGAGGTGATGGGCTGAAGGTCATCTGGAGTATCATCAACAATTTCACTAATTCCTTGAACATTAGTGGCTATATCAGTGTCAAATTCACTAACCTCGCATTCTGTTACACTTTCCGAGAATAGTAGAGTGTTAATACGCCGAGGCATGAGTGAATCACGAGGGTTTGCCATGATTTTAACCCAAGATGGAGCTGAAACTAACTGGTGCTACCACGCAGTACCCCAGCGTCAGCAAATTTTTTCATACTGTGCACACTTAGGGGGCAGACCCATTCTCTCGTGTCTAGGAGACTCAGGCCTATCGTGCCAACTTATAGGAATGAAAAATAAAATGTTGATCTACATTCGGAGCGCTACACGTGCAAACATAGATCTACATTTAGAAAGTTTAAGGGTCAATGCCATAAGCTCACATTACACAAGCAAGGTAAAGTATATTCTCACTTGTATCACCATAAAGAACTGCAGTACTTGGGCAGACACAAGGTGATTAGGGCTCTCCTATTCTAAGATGTATTTAGAGGGCTTTACGCCCAAACCAAGCGAGTACCACTACGCATTTCAGATGGTGAAATGCTGGGTAATTCTCCTTTGGGGCAAACTGGTTTGTAACCCATTTGTTAATCCACAGCCACAGTGGGATCTGGAAAGGCACCCTGAAGGGATGGCCAGGGAGAGGCTGCTGGACATAGTGCTGTTAACAGATAAGTACCGATTGCTATATGTTGTTTTATACAAGAAAGTGTACTTATCTAACCAGTTCTCCACAATTTCATTGCATTTCCAGCACTTATGCAAGGTGTGACAATAGTCCATTTGGCAAAGTTTGCATGGAGACATTACTAAATGCAAACTGTGCCAGATGGACAATTGTCACACCTTGCATCATTATGTGCTGGAATGCAACAAAATTAATAAATTCTGAAAGAACTCACTCCCAAATGTTCAAGAAATGCCGAAGTATATTATCCACAGTGGCAAATTCCCAACCATTCTGAAAAAATACCCTGACTGCCTATTGTAAATAACACATAACCACTTAAACTAGTTTAAATTCAAGCACACCTTGCTAATATATAAGGTAATATAAATAATTCAGAACCACACACAAGATGCAGTGGAACTTTGGTTTTTGTGATTAATCCATTCGAAAATTTCTGACAAAACCAAATCGTATGAAAACTGAAGCAATATTTCCCAGAAGAAATAATGTAAATCCAATTAATCAGTTCCAAACACCCAAAAATATTAACAAAAAATACATTTTATACAGAATAGCTATTGTTTTACATACAGAAAACAATGAAAAATAAATATAAATGACTAATAAAATGGATAAATGAACATTTAACATCACTTTTACCTTTATTGAAGACTCTTGTTGGCATATGAAAGATGGCGAGGAGGGGATAGGGAGGAGGAAAGATTATTGTTTGAAAGGGGAATTCCCGTCCATAAGGAATTCAGGTATCAAGGCTCTATCTGGGGTTACTTCCCTTCTTTGTCTTTTACTGGCACTAGGACCAGCTTGAGTCACTGGACCCCTGTTGCACAAAAAATCTGTCCAGAGAGGTCTGTTTCTGGCATCTCTAAGATCTGCCTAAAATGGGACAAGTCATTGTCATTGAACATGTTGCAGACATGGCTTGCAACAGTTTTGTTAGGGGTGATATTTCTCCACAAAACTTTGCAACTCATTCTACTTTGCACATATGCCCTTAACCACTGAAGAAGGCACATTCTCCCCTCTCTTCCTTCTCCTCTTAAGCAATTTCATCAGCTGCAGTCTGTTGCTGTTCCAGCTGAAGGTCTTGCAGCTCTTCAGTGGTTAGCCCTTTCCTGTGGTCGTCCACCAACTCTTCCACATCCTGGTCACTCACATCCTGTTATGCTACAAATTTGTACAACTTTAATGCTACTTATTTGAAATACTCATTTGTACTTCATGTTGTAATTTGTTTACTGTAGTTTTTACCACTGAATATATCATTGCTTAGTTAATCTTAAGTTAATTTTAAGCCTGCCCATAATGCTCTGCATACAAGGGGCTTTTGGCATGTACACCCAATCACTATATTTCTCTGTACAACTATGTATCATATCCAAATAACAATAAATAAATAAATAAATAAATCCAACCCCATGGACTTCCCCAGACACGATAGATTCCACAACAGGTTTAGGGTCGTCAGGTCAGCCTCAAACATTTCAAAATCCTTCTCGAGGACACATTCTGGCATGGGCTGGCAGAGGCGTCGCTAGGGTTGGTGTCACCTCAGGTGGCATCTTTGGTGTTACCCCCATGAAATCCAAGGGCTGAGGGATAGGGGAAGTAAACTCCAGTAACGTCACTGCTGCCTGTCCAGTGACTAACGTTTAGCAATGAGAATGTTTAAAGGCCATAAACCGAACTTTATTAATGATAAAATAATCGTAGTAATATTGAGGAAACAAACTCAAATACCACTGAGTAAAGGCAACAGATCCTACATTTATTCATCTTCAACAATGAAAAAAAAAATGAAAAATAAAGAAAGACACTAATTCTGATTTGACCTGAGTACAGGTAACATCTCAATGAATCTGATATTTCATTTCCTTGCCTTCGATCCTGCAAAATCATCTATCACATCATCAAAATCAATGATTTTCCCTATATAGGCCTATTTGTACTCTGTAATCCTATATCAGGCTATATAGAAATGAAGGATTTTTCTCTTATGTTGGTGCAGCATGGTTTTGGTCATTAGTGTTACCTTCTTTAGAGGCTCTATGGTGTCACCCGGGGTGGCCCCCCCCCCTTATGATGCCACTGAGGGCTGGCACTCAGAACTTTCTCTGGTCCCATGGTGGCTTATTTACCATTTGCACTCAATAAACAAGCACATAATAAAACAATGGATTATTACAAAATGTTTCGGATGAACATGCGGGGCGATGCTCACTCAACAAGAAACAAAGGCAGATTGAGTCACGAACGCATGGGATGCTTTGTGTGAGCGCTTGATTCTGGGAAATCAATGGCCAAGTCATGTGAGCAGGTGGATGAGTTTGGTATGGACCATTTTCAACTACAAAAACTGAGCGAATGTACAAAAGCTGGGACAAAATTGACGAAAAAAGTCGAAAACTGAACCGTACGAAAACTAGGGCATATGAAAACTGAGGTTTGACTGTACTCTAATATTATTGTGACAATTAATATTTGCATAAGTTGTCATAGGGGGTTCGGAAGGAGATATGATGGTTGAAAGTACACACACTTGTTGGATGGTAACGCTATATATTGTCAGACTGTGGTAAGGGATGGGGCCCGGCCTGCCTGCTTGCCTGCTGTATGTCTAAGCGCGGAGTGAGAGCGAGGCAGAGCGTCCCACTCCCTCATGCTGCATCCCGTGACGTCATACAGTCACTAGACCTAAAGATCTTCTATATAAACACATGTAAGGAGGATCAGCAACTATGCTGACAAAGTAACTCATTATTGTAACCTGACATAAACATGTAGATAGTTGAATAACTAAAGTAAATGTAATGAATACTTCCCAATGTTCATTAATAACCAATACAGAGACAGAAACTCAGAAAATTAATTGATCTGTATATTTCAACCCCCTGCTAAAGAGGACCCCAGCAGGGAGTTGAAAAATACAAATCAATTAATTTTCCGAGTTTCTGTCTCCATGTGGGTTATTATTGAACATGTAAATAATTCATTATCATTGTAATTTGTTTAGCTATCAAAACTTTGTAGCCCAGTCCATGGACCCATTATAAGTATGTCTTATCATAGGTACATATAAGTATCATACATAGTGTAAATTACCTAGGATAACCCCAAAAAATCAGACAAAGTGACTTATTTCCAATGCGGTTCTTGTACCCTGTGCCTCTAATCTTTTGACAACCACCTACTGAGAGTAATTATTTTTATAATAAAAAAGAAGTGTCCCTGTCCCTGTTGACCTGTCAGTAAGTAGGTATCTGTGTGTTAGTCGACTGGTGTGGGTTGCATCCTGGGGAACAAGATTGAAGCACCACAATGCTAATAAGACAGACAGTCTTTGATGACACACTGACTTTCTTGGGTTTTCCTGGGTGGTTAACCCTCCGGGTTAAAAATCCGTATTGAATCTGTATTGATAAAGCCACTGGATGGCGAAACGTCTACAATAAAGATATCCAGATGTTGCACATGTGTCTTAACTTTCATATTGTCGGTATTTTATACCTTTCTTGCACAACTTGTCAGACACTGCAACATCATGGAATCTTGGTTCAGAGGACATCTACAAGACCTTCTTCACGGCTGCTGCAACTAACCCATCTCTTTGGGAAGGACTTACTTCCACTGGGGAATCCCGCCTACCAGTGACTATGCCCTCGTCTGCTGCACGACCTGACCCAAAATCTTTTGTGTTAATTATCTAGGATAACCCCCCCCCCCCCCCCACCAAAAAAATACAGACGAAGCAACTAATTTCCTTTGGGGTAATTGTAATATCACTTCATACCAACAGCTGTATAGTCCTTGTGGCTTAGCGCTTCTTTTTGATTATAATAATAATAATTCATACCAACAGGATGGGTATGAGATACATAATAAAGATATTAAGGTAACTGGTGCAAGTCAGAGTCCCTCACCAGCATCAAGTCACACCCTGAGACAATTCGCTGAGGTTAACTAAATATATATAGCTTAATGTACTTACTTTTCCAAGTCCTCTTTTGAGCAAGTGGTGTTCTGTCTGACATATACGTTTGCCACTGTCCATTTTGCACAGACACTGGGGATTTAGAGTCCTCACTTTCAGCATCATTATCTTGATAAAGGGGAGTGTCAGTGTTTATGTTTACATTCTCAGCTGAGGCAGCCATGATCACTGACCAGCTGCAGAAAACGGGAGACTTAACACATCCGCCATGCAATGAATACACTTCCTTTCTTTGGCTGGTTAATGGACTTTAAACGTCTATCGCCTACACTCGAGTTATTAAGGCGTGATATCATGCAATCCTTTTCATCACCTGACAAGAATTATTTAATCCTTAAAATAGGGATTAAAATTAACTCTCGGCAAATATACGCTGAGAGGCATACACCTCCCAGTGTATACTGTATATCCTCTGCTGTCGGCGCTATGACCCTTGTAGGTTTAGCGCTTCTTTTTGATAATAATAATAATCACTGACATTTATATACTCGAATATACTGAAACCGAATATTTTTCAGGATCTTTTTTATCAATTACATTATAAAATTTCGTCAACTTTCGGTGTAAAGCATTAATTAATGTACGTATATTATTATTATTCGAATCTCCTCTGGTACGGATGGAAAACATTAGGGACGTGTTTCCATAAGACACCTGCTGTCCCTGTCCCTGTTCCCCCATCAGTAAAATGGGTACCTGGGCGTTAGTCGACTGGTGTGGGTCGCATCCTGGGACAAAACTGACCAATTTGCCCGAAATGCTCAGCATAACACGCAGCTTTCTTTAGTGTCATTGATGTCAGCTAGGCCTGTATACCTTGTACATGTACTTGTAGTAAATAAAGATATTATTATTATTATTATTATTATTATTATTATTATTACTATATTCACGGAGGAGTCATTCAGGCTCGATTCAAGGAAGAAGAAGAATAACATCACTAATTTTATTTTTCTGAGCAACACAAGGAATTCAGTAGATATACATTTTTTTAGTTTAATAAGTTTATTATGCACCCCATACCCATCCTGTGGACGGTAGTCAAAAGATTACAGAGGTACATAATTGGTCCAGGGACTGGACTCCAAAGTTTTGATAGCTGAGCAAGTTACAGAGGTAATGAACTCATAATTTACAAAGGTAATGAACTCCAGGTAGGTCTGGTCACAATCATGACAAGTTAGTTAGTTTAGTTTAATATGTTTATTATGCACCCCATACCCATCCTGTGGGCGGTAGTCAAAAGATTACAGAGGTACATAATTGGTCCAGGGACTGGACTCCAAAGTTTTGATAGCTGAGCAAGTTACAAAGGTAATGAACTAGATCTGGTCACAATCATGACCAAGTTACAAAGGTAATGAGCTCCAGGTAGAGCTGGTCACACTCATGAATAATTGCAAAGGTAATGAATCATAAACACATTAATCATGAGAATTTACAAAGGTAATGAGCTCCAGGTAGAGCTAGTCAAAATCATGACAAGTTTCAAAGGTAATGAATGATAAACACGTTATCACATGATTACAATCATAGACAAATTACAGAGTAATGAGCAGTTAACAAACATAGCAGGGAATTCATCCATTGCCCCAACAACAGATGTTGCTAGGTGCCTGTCTCTCCTCGGCAGACAGCCATTGCAAACAGCAGCAAGTTGCCCCGGGATCTGCTGCTTGCACGAGCACCATCGACCCTCCCCAAGAGGTCCAAGAAGCCAGTGGCTCCGTTAGCAGCCCGATGGAGAGCTGTCCTAGGGACATGGCAACGTCCTGGTGGACGCCAAGTTGACTGAAGATCCCAGGCCCTCGTGTGCACGGATGTTGAAGCTTGAGGAACTGAGTACACACTGCCTGTGGCACACCTGACAGCTGCCTCGCGGTCGAACTCCACGATGCTGTCCCTGTAGTGGAAGTTCCTGTGAGCCCGGCACTCCCTGCAGTGCCATCGCTGACATCGTGGGTTAGGGGAGAAGTACCCTCTATAGATGGGGTGGCGCTGGGAGTTGGGTGGGTGAGGCGGGGGAGACGGGCAGAGGCGAGGCGTTATGAGAGGGTCACTGTTTACTACACACGCCCTCCCCCTCCCCCCCAGCGGAGAGGGGGGGAGGCGCTGACTGGTCCTGACTCGACAACACCAAACCTTCTGCACAACACTTCAACTATTTACGCTGAAACGATGCACTGGGAAGTCCGTTCGCTGCTCTGGTATCTTCTCAAAGCATTCACACTGAGTTCTGTTAAGTAGGGACCTGGTCAGCCTCTTTGACCAAGAGCTATCCTTGAAAATCCCGCAGCTAGCCCGCTACACAACACTGACAAGTTACAAAGGTATTTACAGATTATAGAGGTACATGAATGAGTACAAAAGTAGACACAAATTTTTTCGAAGATTTTAGATAGCATGACTCACGAAATCGTAATGACACGATTGCAAACAAACCATACCACGGATGGGGTTTGAACCCGCGGTATATTCGAGACTCTTACCGCGGGTTCAAACCCCATCCGCGGTATGGTTTATTTTAGATAGCAGTTGTAAGTTGGATATTGGACTATAGTTATTTGCATCAATTGAATCGCCTCCTTTGTGTATTAGGATAACCCTTGCTATCCTAAGCACTGTTGGGAAAGTTCTGGTTTATAATGATCTATTGAACAATATTGAAATAGTGGGTGATAGCACATAAGCAATGACCTAATTTCTTAGAGTAAGAGCCCATCACTAGAATCAAGGAACTTCCTTTGAGGGGTCTATTGTAGATTATATTTTGCCACCCGAGCCCAGTCATACTAGCCAATATTGTAAATACCGAATTACAAAAAATATCTACCTGGATGAGGACTAACAAACTTACACTAAACATTGACAAAACCTACTTCATTCAGTTTGGTAACAGAGCTACAGATGTCCCTCTTAACATAATGATAAACGGATCACCTATCACAAAGCTAACAGAGGGAAAATTCTTAGGAATCCAACTTGATAATAGACTCAAATTTCATACACATATACAACAAATTTCTAAGAAAATTTCCAAAACTGTAGGCATACTATCGAAGATACGGTACTATGTTCCACAGTCAGCCCTCCTGGCCCTATATTATTTACCCCTATCTCATCTATGGAATTTGTGCATGGGGCTCAACAACAATTAACCATCTCAGACCACTAATTACCCAACAAAAGGCTGCAGTTAGAATGATAACAAATTCTCACTACAGGCAGCACACTCCACCAATATTCAATACACTAAACCTACTCACCATACAAAACATCCATACTTATTACTGCACCTATTACATACATAGAGCACTTAACTCTGATATTAACCCTCCCCTCAAACATCTCCTTGCCAACCTCAACAGAACACATGACCATAACACAAGGCACAGATCACTCTTTGATGTTCCTCGAGTCCATCTCACGCTATGCAAAAACTCAATGCACATAAAAGGCCCTAAAATCTGGAATTCATTACCTGTAAATATAAAAGAAACACTACCTGTTTATAAATTCAAGTCTCTTCTCAAAGATCACTTACTCACCCAAAACCAAATAAATACTGAATAACTGAATCTTATAAATTGTATAATTATATCACATAAATGTTAAACCTAAGACCCAATCTAACTTTGTTATTTTTTAAATACGCTACCTAACAGAATACTCCATTCTACTGAATGTACAGCAATGCATGCAACCATATGACCTGTCTTTGTAATACTCATTTGTGCTTTATTGTTATCTGTTTACAATAATGTTTTATCACTGATTACATCATTGCTTAGTTAATCTTAAGTTAATTTTAAGCCTGACCGTAATGCTGTGCATACAAGTGGCTTTGGCATGCTGCTCTTACCTGTATTTTTTTTGTACCTCTGTATGTTCAAATTATTAAATAAATAATTAATAAAAAAAAGTGGCTAGTTTATTGTGCATCCCAAATCCATCCTGTGGACGGCAGCGCAAGAGCATATGGATACACAAAAGGCCTAGGAACTAGGCCCCAAAAGGGTTAACAGGTGTACATGGGTTTATATCTACATATCTACAGGTCACTTATTTGTTACAAACAAATTAAGAAATTTGCTCAGTATATCTGGTATCTTATTTTCATTAATAAGATACCTTGACATGTCACATAGGTTATTATACTGTCTGTCTCTGTATTCCTCAATAAGTGGACAATTAAGCACATAGTGTTCAAGACAGTGACCATATGCCTGATCACATAATTTACATTTAGTTTGATCATCATCTGTGTCTTCCAAACTGCCATAAGTACTTGTAACCAAGCCTAAGCCTGGTCACTACAACATCAGTCTGTTCACATTGCAAGTTGCTCCATGAACATACTTATCTACGTTCGTGTTATCATAGTGGGTTATAGATTTACTCACCTAACTGCATTCCTATAACAACCATTTTCATTATTTGCTTCTCTCCTAATATTATTATTCTTGGCTAACATATGAACTTTATCATGAAGGAGTAATCCAGTGTGTGATGGGATCCATAGCAATTGTACATTAATTTTTTTTCCCCGATTTTTGAGTATCAGTACCTGGCTTCTCCAATGAGCATGTTGTTGGAGTCATTATATGAGTCAAGAGCATTCAGTGCTGATATAGAATCAGTAATGATGATAGAGCCAAGCTCAATGTCATAATTTAGCTATTACCTGGAGTTTACCTGGAGAGAGTTCCGGGGGTCAACGCCCCCGCGGCCCGGTCTGTGACCAGGCCTATAGCGCCATTAGGATTGCAAACAGTTCAGTTTGCAGTGTAGATGCCCAATTGTTAATTCTTATGCCTAGTTCAACAAGTTTATTATCGTTCTTAACTAGGGAGGTGGCAACAAGAGCAGATGCAGCCCTGCCAGTAGACTCCTGTTTAGATCCATCAGTGTATATAACTTGTGTAACTTATTACTACCAGCTAGGCGAGAAATTTCTTATTGTACTTTAGCTCATTCTAGCTCAATACATAGACAACACCTAAACTAACTATACCTAGTTGTACTTTAGCTCATTCTAGCTCAATACATAGACAATACTAAATTCATTATATTAGACCTTAGTGCAATTACAAGAGTGAGTCTGGTGCCACTTGTAATTTTTTTATAGTATTAGTTTATATACAAGTTGTACTTTAGCTATTCTAGCACTTCAACATGGCAATATCCAATTTTTCAGTATGTAATTAGTGACTATACTCTATATGACCAAAGTGCTTAGCGGTATACTTAACCAAACCTCCCCCACCACTACAAGAAACAGTATTAGAACTCGCCACATTATACCGGATAATAATAACCTATTTAAACCTAAATAGGATGAAATGATTCACGTTGACCCTGATCTATAACCTCCTTAATCTAACTCACAATTCATAAACTTATTGGAAAGTAACTGCTTCTATTACACTGCATCACAATGCCAGCACTATCTGAAACACTGCTCAAAGTTATCAGTTCTTAACTACAACCATCAGGTCCTTAAGCAATATACTCTGAGGACCTCCTGGCACTCTTTGAGTCACTTAGGACACCTTCTCCTGG